ATGACATAAGGAATATAAGGCAGATAGCTGCATTGGAAACATGCAGAATTTTTTTCAGGTCAGATATCTATCAGGTCAGATATCAGGACTGAATTCCTCTCATTTACACTACATGAATCAGGAATAGCGTAGTCTAATTTCAATACTTCAAAACCTGAAGAAGTAGGAAGAAAATCAGTGTGTTATGTATTTACATGTCACTTATAAGCTTGTGCTTCTGTGCAGGAAAGGTGTAGGAGGATAACAAACCTGAAAAGTGTCCCTTGAGACAGATGTACATTTGACTTCCCCAACCCCTTTTATTCTACTCTAGATGTACTTTTCTAAAATCAGTCCCCTATTTCTATTTATTAATTTTTATTTCCCCTGGTTAATTTTTCCCAACATTAGGTTTCCAATTTGTACAGGAATAAGACTGATGTGCCTGTCAGAGTACTGTTGTCCATTATTGTTTTACATTAGAAAAATAAATTGCTTATCTGAGGCTACTCAGAGAGTTAATGGAAGAGCTTAAAGTCAAAATTAGCCTTTATGCTTAAGACATTAGACCCCACTGACTTTAATAGCATTTCTTCCAACTAAGGAGTTAAAATTCTGGTTCTTGACAAACAGTGGAGATGGAGGCTGATCTCAGACTGTTGCCTTTGTAGGCCTATGTCACTTAACCTCTGCAGTCTCAGCTTCTTCCACCTTAAACCTGAATTATAAGGTAATTAACATGGGTATTTATGTTTATGTGGCCTTTTGATGAGATGAAGGACAAAATTACATCTCAAGAACCCTTAGCTGAAGGTAGGGGAACGCAAGTCCTCTCTTCGTTCCCACAGACAGAAGCTTGGGTGGCTATAATGCTCCTGGGCTTATTCAGCCTGGGCAGAGCTGTCTGCAGGAATGAGCAAGAGCAGCCACACTCTCTTGAGGGAAGACCTGAGTTGAGGCAGCAACGTATTGGTCCTATATGTACAAGACTGCAGTAATTCTCAGCCTGTGGAATATATCCCACGTAGGGGAACATTTTTGGTCAAGCTTAAGGTGATGCAGGCTTGGTGGTTCCCCCAATTCCATGTGCTTTTTTTCCTTTACCTGCCTTCCTTCACCTCACCTGTACACCCAGTTGTTTCACTACAATATGACCCTGATGCTATGGACTACAGATATAGAGGCAAGAAAACTAAACCTCCTCCTACAGCAGCATCCTACTTCAGTCAGCCAGTTTAACTCACTGAACTGGCAGAAAACTGTTCATTGTTTTCCTCTGGGTTCGTTTCCCACCACTTTGAAGGTTGTGCAGCCAGCTTATTTCAGGGCAGATGAACACTAGAACAACCAAAGGGGAAGCAGAGGGATGCCAGTAGCCTGGGGGAGAAGAGTTGGCCTGCCCCTTGGGTGGTAGGGTGTTAGCAGAGAGATGCGTCTGCCTTGGGGAGGGGGACTCACTCGCCCAGGTCGCCTCACCAGTGAGTCAGTCTGGCGTCACCCAGAAGGCGGAGAGATGAAAATGGTGATAGCAGCAGGAAGGCAGAGAGAAGGAGGGAAGTCTCACCAAGACAAAAATAAGAAAGATGAATTGGAAGGAAGAAGGAAGCCAAGGGGAAACAGATTGAGAGTTGCAGGAGTTCAGTGCCAGCAGATGTTCAAAATCGGATGGGCTGAGGGAGCTCCATAGGGAAATGAGGGTTGGAAGGGAAATGCATGGGAGAACGGCAGGAACCCAGAGGGAATTGCTGCCAGGTTAGAAAAGGGAGCAGGTTGTGCTGACAAGCTCCTCTTAAGCTGCTTTTCTCCAATTCTGTCAGTCTGATTTGTTTATTTTGCCCCTGAAATTTTCAAGTCATTCTGCTGTGAGGTTTATAGCAGGGATAAGCTTGTAACAGGCCCATGCGTTTGACCCTCAGCTCAGGATATACAGAGGTAAAAGCACCTGTGCATCTATCACTTTACAGGTATTTTGTTATTTGTGAACAGATATCCTGTATATCATTTGGAAAATACCTGTCAGCCCTTAACCCTGGTAAAACACTGGCTGAAGAACCAAACCAGACAGACCCTTCAGTAACTGGTGTCCGTGTAAGGCAATGCAAATGTCAGCTGCATAGCAGCCTGCAGCCACTCTTTACAACAGTAAGACCAGAATGAAGGGAATTTAATTTGGTTTTGAAACCTCAAGGCTGGTGCAATGCATATTTAGGGAGGGGAAATGTCCTTCCTTGCCCTTGTTATCATAGAATCATAGAATGTTTTGGGTTGGAAGGGACCCCTAGAGGTCATCTAGTCCAGCCGCCCTGCAGTGAGCTAACTAGATCAGGTTGCTCAGAGCCCCATCCAACCTGGCCTTGAATGCTTCCAGGGATGGGGCCTCCACTACCTCTCTGGGCAACCTGTTCCAGTGTTTCACCACCCTCATTGTAAAGAATTTCTTCCTTATATGTAGTCTAAACCTACCCTGGTTTAGTTTAAAAACATTACCCCTTGTCCTGTCACAGCTGGCCCTACTAAAAAGATTTTCCCCATCTTTCCTATAGGCCCCCTTTAGGTATTGAAAGGCCGTAATCAGGTCTCCCCGCAGCCTTCTTTTTTCCAGGCTGAACAAGCCCAACTGTATCAGCCTGTCCTCATAGGAGAGGTGCGCCAGCCCTCGGGTCATTTTTGTGGCCCTCCTCTACATTGACAAACGTGCAGATTGTGCATGGTGGAAGCTCACTGATTATGCTTTCTCACACACTGAAGGGGCTGGAAACCTCCTCTACTTTGAGGTTTTCCTTCTATAAAACTCCATCTAGTTTTGCATGATAATAAGGCTGAATAGCCCATGTCCCATGTTTGAACCAAGCAGATACAAGTGAAGAGAGCTGTGCAATCCAAAGATTTTGGAAGAATGGATCAGCAAATATTTTTCCTGTTTTCAAATACAATTTTTATAACTTTTATTATAAACCAAAATTCATCAACTATCTGGAAGCGTTTATCCGTCCTTCAATGAGACATTCATTATGTAGCTCAGTTGTTACAAAAATATTGTGTCAACTTCAGCTTCACCTTTAAAACCTCTTACAATGAAAAGGAGAGAGGCAGAAAAATGTGTGTTCTTCCTTTCTTCTGGGCTCGTTTTTATTCTAGCATCTTAAATGGAAAAAATTTTCCCATTTTGGATACTTGATACAACTTAGATTGTACTATCATGTCATGTTATGAAAGAGCTTTAGGCACAGAAATTCCTAGATTAGTTGTATTAACTACATTTTACAGGCTGAGAAAGCTGAGATAAGAGAGGTCATTTAAAATGACATGACAACCAATGAAAAAATAATTATGTTACTTTTTTATTTGGTAAAAAATTAATTAATGAGATAGTGAGACTATCTTAATAAAATGGGTTGTGTGGAATTTATTTCCCTGTTGTGATGAGTTTGTGGGCAGATACCCTTGGCCCAGGCAGTGTGGAATTTTGTTCAAACTCTGCCTGAAGAACAGAAACACTGAGAAAGATCTAGGATAAAAGCAAGTTATGCTATTCAGACCCCCCAAATTTACACATTCTTAAAAGCAAGGCTGAAGCTTCCATTTCTCTTGAGCTCTTTTCATTTACAGGGAAGATATAACCCAGGCAGATACTAATTTTCACAACACTACAGGGAAATAATGATCAACTACATCTTCCATGAGGAGTTTCTCTAATGAATTAGTCACAAACATATTTTTATTCCTCAGCATTCTGTATCTCTTGTGCCCATTACATGAATCTCAGATTCCATCACTTTTGTGTTTTTAAATGAGTGTCCAAATAGCTATTCACATTCTGGAAGTGATATCAGTAACAAGTGAGGCAACTACTGCATCCTAATTGAAAACCAAAATTTGATGAATTCTGGGAGTCTCAAGATAAGCCATCTTTTTTGTGATTTTCATTCTGGAACAAAACTAAAACCAAGGGTGCTGTTCTATCAAAAGAATATACTGGTCTGACTTTGCCACAAATTCATAGAATCATTTGGTTGGAAAAGAACTTTAAGATCATTGAGTCCAGCCGTACCTGTCCACTACTAAACCATGTCCCTAAGCACCTCAATTACCTGTCTTTTAAATAGTTCCAGGGTTGGTGACTCGACCACTTCCCTGGGTAGCCCACTCTGGTGCCTATTAACCCTTTCAGTGAAGAAATTTTTCCTAATATCCAATCTAAACATCCCCTGGCACAACTTGAGGCCCTTTCCTTTTGTCTTATTGCTTGTTACTTGGAAGAAGATACCGACCCCCACCTTGCTACAACCTCCTGTCAGGCAGCTGTAGAGAGCAATAAGGTCTCCCCTCAGGCTCCTTTTCTCCAGGCTGAACAACCCCAGTTCCCTCAGCCACTCCTCATAAGACTTGTGCTCCAGACCCCTCACCAGCTTCATTGCCCTTCTCAGGCCACGGTCCAGCACCTCAATGTCTTTCTTGAACTGAGGGGCCCAAAACTGAACACAGGCTTCAAGGTGTGGCCTCACCAGTGCCAAGTACAGGGGAAGGATGACTTCCATGGTCCTGCTGGCTGCACTATTCCTGATAAAAGCCAGGATGGCCCTCTTGGCCACCTGGGCACACTGCTGGCTCATATTCAGTCAGCTTTTGACCAGTACCCCCAGGTTCTTTTCTGCCAGGCAGCTTTCCAACCACTCTTCCCCAAGCCTGTAGCGTTGCATGGGGTTGTTGTGACCCAAGTGCAGGATCTGGCACTTGGCCTTGTTGAACCTCATACAATTGGCCTCAGCCCATTGATCCAGCCTGTCCAGGTTCCTCTGTAGAGCCTTCCTACCCTTAAGCAGATCAACCCTTCCACCCATCTTAGTGTCATCTGCAAACTTGCTGAGAATCATAGAATGGCAAGAGACCTCAGGAGATCATCTAGTCCAACCCTCCTGCTAAAGCAGGTTCACCTAGAGCAGGTTGCACAGGACATCGTCCAGGTGGGTTTTGAATATCTCCAGAGAAGGAGACGCCACAACCCCCCTGGCTGAGGGTACACTCAAGCCCCTCGTCCAGGTTGTTGATAATTTTTTTTTTAATTTTTTTTTCTTCTTGTTGGCCATCTTCTGCTTCTGGTGCATGATCTCTAAGTCCCTCTGCTTCTGGGCAGTGACCAAAAACCTGTCTTCCCACCACTTGCTCTTGCCTGAATCACTCTGCTTCTTCAAGTTCTTCTGCGGCACCAGTTCACGCCAGTTCCTGCTGGTCATGGAGCTGCTCCCTCCTGCTCTCCACTCTGCCACCACGTCCCACACTGCCCTTGAATTCTTTAAATGCCCTTGAAAAAGGCCACAAAGTGTGCAAGCCTTGGTCTTCTATTGCTAAAGTAAGAATGATATTACTTTATTTCTCCCATTCTTAACCTTTCTGGCCGATTTGAATACAAATCATCAAGAAGCAAGAACTGCCTTATGAAATCAAACAGATCAAATGCAATACCTTCCCTCTGGCAGTGACTAAGAGCAGATCTTCAGAAGACAGTCAAAGGAACTCCAGGGAAAGGAGCAGTAGCATAATCTACCCTTTTGAAAGATTCACTCTAATCCCTAGAAATTAGAGATTGACCTAAACCATGAAGCATGAAGCTTTCTATCCGGACAAATTTATTTTAGCTATTATAAGCTGCTCTCGTTATTCATATCCATACCAAATCCTCTTCTGAATGCTGCTAAATAATGTGGGAATGCATTCTGCTGGATGATTCTTAACGTCTGTTTGAATTATATCTATGCTATGGGGTATAATTGTGGCTGGGGCTTTTGGTTATTCACATAAAGGTAGTGGTAGGGAAGCAAAAGGGTAGGGGAAGGAGGAAAGAGAGTTCTTTCATATAGTTTTAAACTTCCTTTCCTTTGTTTGCTGGAAAGTATTTAGTCATGAAAGAAAATGTTGAGTTTTGCATTTTGCAGTGGATTTCTTTGCTAAACTACATCAAACAAATGAGTTGGCTCTTTTGTATCCTCTTTCTAATTTGAGATGACTCTGAGGCAGCTTTGCTTTTGGAAAAAACAGGAAGTTTGGGGATTCCTTTCCTCCAGATTTGATAATTTTTGGTTTATAAAACAGGCTGGGTGAAGCATACAACAGCACTATCTCCTTGTGTGACTTTGCTCTGCCATCACTTGGCCTGGGCAAGCACCCAGCGTCAGTGCCAGGATTCCTAATTACTCACCCTGCACCCGGGACTGCCACTTGGGCATCTTTCTGGGTATGAACGCCAAGTGAGAAGGGCAGGTCTAACCTTTTCTCTCCCTCAGACAGTGTTAAGCAAATTGAAGCCTTGTTTTCTTTCAAGAATTGAGCCTCTTCAAACAGCTGTGTATGTGTGTAAAGCCTGCTTGGTTTTTTTGCCTCCTGCCCCCAGAAGGAGCCAGGAGCAGGTTTACCCTCTGGCAAGCAGAGCCTGCATCAGGGTGCCAGCAGAGCCTGTGGCCGCTGTGGTTTAGTGCTGTGGTGGCTGCTGCAACCCCCATGCCTGCGCTCCCCGCTGCCACGTGCCGAGATGAGGAAAAGCAATTTCAATCCACAGCATAAGGCTTACAAAATAAATCGCTCTGCACCACCCCAGATAATTTGCAGGGTATTAAATGGAATCCTTTTAACAGGAAACGCTCGCATTCAAGAGAAGGGCAGCAAAGTGAGGCTGCCAGACTGAGGGAATTGCCAGCCTTGCTTACCAGTACCGCAGGGCAAAGATAAACTTTAAATGGAATCAGCAATCGAAATGAGGGCCAGGCGAAAGCACCACTGAGAGAGGGATGGCTTCTTACACCCTTCTCCTATTGAGCATTCATCCAGGTCCCAATTTATTCCTCATTACACTATCTGGAAAAGGACTGTCTGAAAGAGCAGTGGCAGCCTGAATGCCGGTGCCGCTCAGCCAGCTCCAGCCATTCCCCCATTTGCCATGACCCTGCGTTTTGCATCGGCAGCAGCAGACTGGGAAACAGCTCTTGCTCTGTGCATCGTTGGAGCGAGGTGGAGGGCGTTGCCACCATCAAGAGGGGCAGGGGATAAAAACAGGACTGCCAAGGTTCCTTGCTACAAGCCAAAGGCAGAGAAGGATGGAGAGGAGGGGGAATTGCCCTGGGAAGCGCATCTGGCAGTTTTACATGGTGATGTTGGGTTAATCTGCTTCATGAAATGTGGTGAAGTACTTAAATATTTGAAGCGCCAGGGAAAAGTGGGAGTGAGTGATGATATATTGCAGAATCACAGAATTGGCTGAGGTGGGAAAGTGCCTCTGGAGATCAAGAGCAGGTTGCTCAGGACCACATCCAGCTGGGTCCTTACCTAGCCTGATCACACTCCAGACTCTGCTAGAGTATCTGAGGAAGCTTTCAACTGGCTGTGCTGAGTAGCGTTGCACTGTGCTGAGAAAGTGTCTTGCCTATTCCTCTTCCAGGAGTTGGCTCATCCATGCTTACATGGATCTCAATGACTTGCTGCATAGAAACACCCTGAAGCATCTTTGGTCTGTTATGGACAGGCCAGGGCCATTGCCTCCATCAGGAGCCTGGTAAGGTTACAGGCAAAGTGGGCCCAAGAGTGAAAAACCTTTCCAGAATGGTATTTCAAAAATAGCTGTTTGGCTTTGGTTTGGCATATTGAAAAACATTAATAGTTCTTATGGTTTGTTCAAGATGCTACACATAATCACTATTACAAAGACTTATTTTTAATTTGTTTCTATAAATGTTATAATCCACAATCCAAACATATAAAAAAGCAGTGTTGAAAAAAAGCTATTGAAATATTTTACATTTCCTTAATGTCAGTTTTAATGAAACTGTCAGAATTCTGTAACAGGTGAAGATTTGAATAAAGATGCTTCTGTTTAAAAGTGCTCAGCAAACTGTAGTTCTATTTTAGACCTGAGTGGGAAAAATTTCCCTCAAAGGACAGGGTTGCATTTCCAATAAAATCTTAAAATCCAATCTTATGTTCTTTGGTCAGGCTAAATTCACCCGTATTTCCTTTGGTTTTCTTCCTGAATGAAAGGTGCAAGATCTAAGCTCAGCCTGGATTTTTGAAGAGAGTTAACAAAAACATAAGTACATATGGGTGCAGCAGCTCTCTCTCCCATGAGAAAAAGAAATCAAATAGTTTAGTGAATATCTTTCCCATGAGAATTAAAAGGAAGATATATGTAAAACTGCTTTCAGTATGCAAACTCATAAATTCAAAAGGAAATTGTTAAGGATCTGAGCAGCCTTCACTCATACTGATTTCAATAAAAATTGAAAATACTCAGGGAAAGCACCATAATGCCCTTAAATACATTGTCTTATATGTTTTATATGGGATGTGGAGCTGGGTCTGTGCCTGCACCCTACTGCTAGAGGCTGGCTAGGAGAGCTGAACCACATCATTTGAAGAGACCCTGGGATGGCTCCAATGTTCACTTTTTAGGGGGGGGAAAGCTACAAAGCCTCCACCCTGGTATCTTTCCAAACTTTTCTACAGCTATTCATAGAGTAGACCATTCACAGTGGTAAAATTCAGCAATATTAGACTAATGCCTGTGTAAAGGGTAGGAGAAACCATGTCTTTCAATTCACTTTATTGAAAGCTCTCTGTGTACAGTTTACATGCAACACAAGACATTAAAGATCTTTAGAGAAAATATCTTTGTCATCTAGCTACTTTGCAAAGAGATAAGATTACTAAGACAAATAGGACAATACCAACCACCAACATTAAGGATACGATTCTCAATGGCCTTAGCACACTTAAGCAAATCCTTTTCAGCAGTCTGACACCATAAATGAAGTGTTTGAGATAGTATCTCCAGCATTTGAAAGAGCAACCCTGACACATACTTTGATTAGGGAAGCTGACATTTCTGTTAAAGTTCAGCAAGTCACAGAATCCTCTTAACATATGGCCAAAGATTACAATGCTCTCTTCTGAAAAAGGTGAGTGTGATTGCAGATCTTATAACTTTCAAAGTCAGAAACAAAACTTATTGCGTCTGCTTCACTTTTTCATTCTCAGCAAAACAAACAAAGATGGGGAGACAGATAAAATACCAAAGAAGAATAATGATAATAATAAATCCCGCACATGCTTTGAAGACATAGAGAAGACAAGAAAGCAATGTAAATTTTGCTATTATACAAATATTATGGTACTGAAATTGCTGAGATAGAAGTTGAACAATATTTTGTACGATAATATCACTATTCTGGTTTGATGACAAACAAGCCTCAAACCTAGAGATGGGACTCGAGCCATTAGTATGAGATTCAGCAGCCAATTTTGCCCATAGCTCAGATTACCTGTGTTCGTATCTTGAGATCTGGAGGCCCAAAGAAATGCCTGCAAATTTAGAACATACAGAGTAGAAACTAGGCTAGAAATCCTGCCACAACAGAGCCTCCTGAAAGGTTGCAGTATTGCTGGGCTGTGACTGGATCAGTATACTAACAGATTAATCATCACAGGACTGGATTAAACCAGAAAGTAAGAAGAACACCAACTCTTTTATGTAAACACATAAAAAGATTTAGATTTCATTCAGTTCAATGTCTGGTTAAAGGATCTGGTCAGTTCTTATTTATTCAAAGCAATTTACCCAATGCTCTTGTTTTGTTTTTCATCTATTTAACAACATAAGTAAAGATGTCTGTAGAAAGTAAAAAGAAGCATTGAAGTGTACCATAAACAGTATGTATGCACGCAGGGCTTGCAAATGGCATAGCTTGAAGAGGAGGATGCTCCATTCATACTGTCCGCTAGCAGTTTATGCAAGCTGTAGGTATAACAGCACACCCTAAAGCACGAGAATAAGGACCAATCTTCAGAATTGTTTAAAAGGTTTACAGCTTCTTTCATTGAAATAAATGTACTGGAAAAAACAGAATCAGGAAACGGTGCAAAGGCTATAAAGTTTGCATAAAGAAACCATTATGAAGGTGTGCCAATAGAACAATTGTTTGATGTTGCGTTACAAATATATCTTTTTTTTTCTTTTTTGTTTTTTTAAGATTCAGTTTATCCAATGCCTTTTGCATTTAAAGAACAAAAACCAGGAATTATTTCCTGAGATGCAAAGTGGAAACTTTCAAAGAAATACTAAAAAACTAGCCAAGATTAGATATCAGTCTAAGATGTGGCTGGCTTTTTTATTGCGATTTAACTTTGTTCTTTGCCATCTCAGCTGTACTACCAGAACTGTTTCTCACAATATTTTCATTTCGGGTACCAAATGCAACCTAGAAATACAGAACAGCATAAAAACTAGAACAAAAT